AGCAAGCTCACAAGACAGCAAACACAAAATGTTAATGAAAGTGTGGAAAGACTAGAACTTTCCTACACTGTCAGAGGAAATGTAAAATGGTACAAAACCACTATGAAAATCAGTTTGGTTCTTCTTCCTTAGAAAGATGGTAATAAATATAATTTAATCTAGCAATCTGACTCCTAGGTATGTATCCCAAAGAAATAAGATCTGTGACACAAGCAGATATATGCACACACCATGCTCACTTTAGCACTATTTACAATAGTAAAGAGATGGAAACAATTTAAATATCTGCAGTACAGTAGGTTTATTGTTCAAAATGGCTTTCCTAGGCCACTGCTCTTGACTTTGCCACATGGCTATGTGGGAACATGCAAATAGGATGCATTAGTCTATCCATAAGGGGATTGGTAGTTTTGTCATTGTACCGGGTTTAAATTGAGAAGGTTCGTGGCAGAAATTTTATAATCTCAATGTCATCAAGAAAGAAGCAGAGAATGAAGCACGCTTCATTTGAGGGCGAAGACTCTTGTACCATTCAGATCAAAACCTGTAAGAGAACAGCAACAACAGAGAACTAGAAACATGATATGAGACTGAATTGATCTGGGGACTGCTCTCCCATGGAACTGGAGCTGGGAGGCTTTGCACAAATTTGTTGGAGAACTGGGTTGGGGGGAGATGCAATGACTAGCTGGACTAAGAGGTTATTGTAACATTGGCTTAAATCCTCAAGGCTGCAAGCACAAGTCAGAACCGGTGCTGACTGTGAAATGCATTCTTTTGCCAACCTGAATTATAAGTAGCTAATTTCCCTAATAAACCCCATAATAATGAGTATGGTTCTGTGAGATCTGTGTAGCAATTACAATGGATTTTGGACCCCGAGAGCAGTAAGCTGGGTATTAGAAATTAGCTGAAAGAGTCAAGGGAGCATGGGGGACATGCCTGACCTCTTGAGAACTGATGTTGTGTTACGGATGCTGTTGATGGGGGCACCTGCCTTTCGTGAAGTTAGCAGAGGTCAGACATGGTCATCTTCATACTCTGCACTCTTTTTACAACATCAAAGGATGGATGAATAAGGAAACTATGGCACAGTCACATAATGGAATAGTTTGCAACACTAATAAAAGAATTTTCCAAAATACTGTGTAACACGGATGTAACTAGAGGACGCTATACCATGATAAATAAGTCAGTTTCAAAAGAACAATTATGGTGAGAGATCACTGCTCCGAAAAGTTAAATGAAGACTTATATGCCTCATTTTTGGGTGTTTACCAGGGATGGGAAAGGTATGAAAGGCTAGAGAGAGTTAGAAAACAGATATAGCTATTGTTTTTTTGTGCTGTTCAGTTAAAAACTGATCCAGAGCTGATCCTCCATCAGGTTTTCAGAGGTGGGTGGTTGCTCATCATTCTCTCACAAAGCAGCTGATGGATTTGAACCACCTGCCTCTGGGAAGTGCAGCTTCTTAGGCACACACTAAGATGGGTGAAGGGAAAGGCAATATTCAGTAAAGGAGATCAGTGTAGTACCACTAAAGAAACAGAAGACCAGGAGAAGTATAGCCACCCCTACCTGAGTCATTCTGTAGTCAGAATTACAGGGAGGAAGTGGGAAAGGTGCAATTACAGTGTGAGTATTGGAATGAATGTTATTGAACAAAATGTGTATGAATGGTTGAATGAAAAATCCATTTGCTTTGTAACCTTTCACTAATACAATAAAAATAATTGACAAAAAATAAGTAAGTAAATGATAAAAAAGAGATTAAAGAAACCTTCCAAGACTTTTGTTCATCTTTGTTCTAGACAGCTAGGGAAATTTTAAGTAGGTATTTTGTTTTCCTTTATGGTGGGTTTAAGACTGAATCAGAATAGACTAGTGACTCATAAACTTTCTCTTTGTCTTCTACCTCTTGACTGGTTTAGACAAGTTTGGTCTCAGACAAGTTCAGCTCAAATTAAGTTTTCCCATATGCCAAACATAATACTGTTATTACATTCTTGTTTTCAAATAATTCATGCTTAAAGCAATCTGTGAGGAAAAAAACACCGCAAAAAAAATGCAAACTAGGTTCATGGTGCTGGTAAGGGATTTTGGGGGGTGGTATGGAGGAGGCTTTAAACGGGGCACTTGTGTACTGGATTAATCAGAGAGGTGTGAAAGGCATTTCCTTTTAAGACAGAAACTGACTTGCTAGATGTTCTACTGAAATAATTAGAGTGAAAATACAACAGAAGCTAAACAGCAGTAAGAACAGGGCTGTATCAGTGGAACTTTGGGACAATCTGCTCAGTCAAGAACACTGTACTAGTTAGACGTTCAGGATGTATAAAATACAGGTAAGGGGGGGAAAATCAAGAAATACAGCATTCCAATGAGGTAGACAATTATAACACAGCTGGTGAAAAATACTCTTATGAGGTTATATAAAGTGTTGAAATAGTCTCTGAGGGCTCCTGATCTTTGAGAAAGACCCGCTGTTAATGTTTATCGAAATTTTGAGGTTTTTCTGCCCCTTTGGTGTGTGAAGATGAGGCAGAAACTGATCCTGAAAAAACCTCTCACAGAGGAAGATATTAAATGACCAACAAACACATGAAGGAAATGCTCAAAATCAATGGCAATAAGAGAGATGCAAATCAAAACCACAATGAGATACCATCTCACCCCAGTAGCAGTGGCGAAGTTAAACAGGGCAGCAAGTAATAAATGTTGGAGAAGATGCAGAGACTTAGGAACTCTTATACACTGTTGGTGGAATTGTAATATGATACAACAACTTTGGAAGGCAGTTTGGTGTTTCCTTAAAAACCTGAACATAGAAATTCCACGTGACCCAGCTATTCCACTGCTTGGAATATATCCCGAGAAAATTAGAAATAAGACACAAATGTAGATTTGTACACCAATGTTCACAGAAACGTTATTCACCATCGCAAGAACATGGAAACATTCCAAATGTCCAACCACAATGGAATGTACTGAAAAACTGTGGTACATTGACACGATAGAATGCAGCATGCAAGAGCAATAATTAAGAAAATTACTACCTAACTTGGGAGGAACTGGAGAGCGTTATGCTAATTGAACTAACTCCGTTCCATAAGGACAAATACTGTGTAAGACCAGTATTGTAGAAATTAAACGATAACTAGTAAAACGTATTTGAGGACCCAAGGCGGGGAGGCTAGGAGCAGAGGGGTGAGAATGGGCAAGGAGTTAATCATAGGGAAGCACAATTTGAAGGGTAGAGGAAGAGGAAGGTAAAGGAAATGGGAAAGATCTGGTGTAAAAAATAATGTACACGATCTTTGTAAGCAAACTAGCATAAAATATAAAAAAAAAATAAAAAAGAAAGTGGTCCCGAGTTGCATCATTATCTGTAAATCAACAGAAAAATTACAAAGGAAATTCCTTGAATAGATGCAAGGCTGGGTTTTACTACCACTAGAGGGAGAAAGCGCATTTTAAAAAGACCTGCTTACTGGTTGGCATCCCATTCTCTGTCTTGGGAAGCATCAGTGAGTGGTTCTTCACATTCCACCCTATAAATCCCGGCTCCTAGGCCTTTGTGTTGCCCATTTACTTTTGGAAACTAGTGAATGTGGTGTCAAAAAAGGCATAAATTAAACTCTTTGCAGCCACTTTCTGCCTATGAATTCGGTTTCATTGGTGTAGGAGCTGCATAAGTTTACAGCTTATGAAAGAAAAAAAAATCTGAATACTTAGAAAATATCGCCTTATCCATGCCTTGTTGTTTATTTATTTGTTTTATTGAATCACTCATTAGATCTTTATTAAGAACTTGATCTATGCCGTTTTTTAGGTGTTTTGTACAAATATAGGAATAAAACAGGTCAAAATCCAAACAAAACAAAACAGAACAAACCCAAAAAAAACCCGGCTCCTCAGAGTTAAAACTTCTTATATGTATTCTCGCCAACAAGTAGGAGTTCCTTCCTATAGGCTTTCCATGTAAACTCCCGCCGTTCTAAATTATAACCAGAATGCAAAATATTCTCTTAAAGGAGACAATTATTAGATAAAAATATGTAACAAAGTTTGACAACATTATTTCCGCTTTGGAAAAAAATGAGTTAAATTGTTGGATTTTAATCTCTACCTTCATCCTTTCAGTGGCACCTCAGCTTCTGGGGTGCTGATTCCGTCATTGGACTGCTAGCTTGCATTTCCTGGCTTGAACTTGCCCAGCAACAAGCATGCTTCTCATTGTCAATCCTCCTCTCTCGTTTCCTCAGCAAACCGAGTTATTACCCATCAGACTCAGTTACTGCTGAGAGCCAATGTGGTCTTTCTTTGCACTCCTGATTTATGTCAAGACATCACTCTTCTAAATTAAATGGAAATTCGTTATGGCGAAAACTATTTCCAGGATATCATTTTAAGCACTCATTTCCAGACTCTAAGTACATGCTGCACACGGATTACCTAATGTAACTCAAAACTCACACACAGTCCAAAAGTTCTGCAGAACTCTGCGTCACACGTGAGAAACCGGAGCTCCCCAGCGATATCTTCTTTGCAGATTGCGGGGTCCCGGCGTCAATCTACCTGCGTGAGGGCGGGGTTTGAACCAAGAGGTCTAAGCTGTTAGCTTGAATCCGAGGGCTTGGGCGAACATGAGATGCAGGCCGTGGAAACACCTTGTACTTGGCCAGTCTCTCACACAGTGAGTGGCCTGAGGTGGCCTGGGGAGCAGAGGTCACATTTTCCCTGGAAACGCCGGGAGCAGCCTCCATGCCGGCCGGGGACGGACGTGACCCACAGCCTCCCGTGCACGGCCTCGGCAGGGGGCGGGCCCTCGAGAGAGGGCGTGCCCTAGACAGGGGGCGTGCCCCAGACAGGGGCGGGCCCTCTACAGGGGCGTGTTCTCTGTAGGGGGCGGGTCTGGAGAAGCCCCGCCCCGATCCTGTTAACAGGCGGTGTTCCTGGGAGTGCGGGCTTTGCGGGGCAGCGGTGTGAGGCGGCACTAGCCATGGCCAAGGTGCGGGAGAAGGTGGCGGCGCTGAACCTCTCGGCTCTCCAACGCCCCGCGCAGAGGCCCCCCGGTAGGTGCTGAGAACCTTCTCCTGGGTCGGGACTGAGGTCCGGTGCTGGGTGGGCGGCGCAGGCAGGTGGGAGACTCGCCCCTGAGGGGAGCCGACGCCCCCGGCCGCTGCCCCCTCGCCGCTGTGCCCACCTGGGATGGCGCCCCCGGCTGTGCGGGCGGGCCGGTTCCTCCCGGCTGGTGAGCTGCAAGGTCCCCGCGTGTATTTGCCCTCACAGCCCAACGTCGGCCAAGTTCCCTAAACTTGAACTCCACCGCTCCTTTTTCTGCGCGCCCGCTAACTTACTAGACTCTCAAAAGAGGTCTCCAGCGTATGCTGCACGCCATTCTGGGGGATGATTATCTGTCAAGAATCTATTTTTCTTTTTTTGTCCACGTTTCAACCGCCGACGTTGCCTCCATAGTATAGTTAGGGGGCAGAGTGCCCACTTTGTTCTGCAGATTGGCAGCACTGAAGAATCGCGCTCGCCACCCCAGATTCTTCCTGGGAGAGACGAGAAGTTTCTGTTACCTCTGGCCGGAGCTTGGCATAAAAGGTATAAGCAGTTTCAGCTAATACTAATTTCCCCCCCAGTTGCACGACGTTAGGAGTGAAGTTTGTAGATTCTGCACCTTAATGTTATCTTTCAGGCTTAAACTTTGAAATGTCCAAACAAGTGAATGGGATAGGATGATCAGTTGCAAAATTCCTTACTCATCTATAAATGCAGTAAGAGGGTTGGTGTCTCATGGTTGTGAGGATACTCGGGTGAAATTTAGGCTTTTTAAGTTTTCTCTTTACTTCCTTTAAAATAAGTTGCGATTTCCCCCTCCCTTTCTGAAACACAATTCAGGATGGTAAAAAAGTTTAGTCACAATCTGAATCTTTAAAAAAAAATAATAACGGTGCGCCTTTCTATTGTTAAAAAAGCTCCCTTCAATTGTTAAAAACCTGCCTGTGGAACTAACTCCCTCAACCTAACAGTTGACCATTGAACTGGCTTGGGTCAGATGGGTGCATCCCAATGACCTTGAATTACTCATTAATGTTGCTGATAGATTTTGATAGAAAACTTCTTTCACGTTTACATACTGTAAACAAATCCTTAACATTGACCACTGTACTTTTTAATTTTCTAAATCCTAAGTGATTTAGAAAAGCTGCGTCCAGAATTTTGCCTTGTTTTACGTTGTGAAGGGAACTTGTTGAGTAGTAAGAAATCTAAAACCTTTTCCAAATGAAACAGTCTTGAGAAAAATCTTCAGGTTCACTTTCTGAATGAGAGATTTTGCCTGATTAAACCGTGGCACCTGTCTTCTCTAACAGCTGAAATAGGATTTCAGGGCTTCCAGCCCTTGTGAACAGGCTCTTAGGATGGTATCCAGGAACATGTATTCAGAAGTCACCTAAATGACTGTCACAAGAAAGAGTTAAAGTGCTGATTTGTATTGAACCCAAAGAAAAGGCGACTGTGCTCTGCACACAGGTGTGGTGGGTGGGGAGGGGCCCCATTTTCTCATTTCTTTTGCTTACCACAGCTGAGTTTTTGCTTGCTCCTCTGTCCATTTGTTAATCCTACTTCCACCATTCGGTCGCCTTGACACAGTTCTAGTGAGCTTGGTAATGGAGCCGATGGTTTTTGGTTCCTTGCCATTCCCTTTCTTTGTGCTCTGGCATGCAGCTCTGTGCTTTTCCTATCGCTGCCTATTATTAAAGTCTTCCGTACTGTAAAGGGATTGTAAAAACCGGGAGTCTGGTTTATATAGCAGAATGAGGGTTTACTTGCTAACCTTTGGCTAGAACTAAGACGACTCTGGTCTTTTAACATAGACCAAGGTAATAAGAAGGTGGTATGTTATTCTGTTATCCCTTTATACTGTAACCTAATTCTTTGAATTTGCCTGGTATCACTTTTCCAGGGAGCTCAGAATACTTCCCATAGACTATCTCATTAATCTGTATGAATTAAAGGAGTGGCTAATGCCTGTTTTTCCGAACATATTTAAAAATGAAAAGTTGTGCTTGTTAGAAGAGATTTTACATATTTCATCTGCCTGCATATAGCCTTTTAAAAAATTCGCCAGAAGCTGTCTTGGTTTTCAACATGAAATTTTTTGTGCAGTGTGGAGTTAGAAAAACCTCTTATGAAACATAGTATTGAAATAACTGAGCTGACCCTCCAGGAGGTTTTCAGAGGCAGTTATTTGCACTAGAAATTGCCCATCTTTCTCCCATGGAGCAGCTGACAGACTTGAACTGTGTGCTTTTGGTATTGCAGTGCAGCTTCTTGCCACTAGGCCACCAGAGTTCCTCTCATTTATGCTACGTTTGTTGTGTTGTTGTGTACCACAGAGTTGCAACTGACCCATAGCTGATCCTCTGGCAGGTTTTCAGAGGCAGTTAATCTCACAGGATGAGAGTGCCCATCCTTCTTCCATGGAACAGCTGGTGGCCTCGAACTATGTGCCTTAGGGATTGTAGCTTCTTGCCACTAGGCCG